CCCCCCCCCCACAGCCTGGCAATTGGAAGGCTAGGTCCCTTTTCAAGCACCTTCTGGGTCCTCTCCTAGCTGTGTCCAGTGGCTGCCACCACTCTGATGGGCCACACACCCGCTCCCCAGCTCCACCTTGTCACGGTTCCCAGGAAAATCTGCCGGTGATGCCTGTAACCCACTTCCCAATTCCCACCAGCAGGGGCTCAGCCCTTTAGCTCTTTGGGATGCACGATTGTGGAGCTGGCAGGAAGCCCACCATGCAGTCCGCCCTGGGTGGGGAAAGGGGACTGGAAGGATGAGTGAATGGGGTTTAGCCCTCCAAGAGGAGCCCAGAGCTCCTGGAGGTGGAGGACGCTCATCCTGGACAGCTTGGGGACACAGTGGGTGGGCAGGCACTGTCTTCATGAACTCACAGGCCACAGGACAGACCAGAGCCATCCGTGAGGGCAAGGACTGCTGCAGAGAGCAGGTGGCACGGGCTCTGTCCACCTGAGTCGTCTCTACCCCTGGGCCATGACCTGCCTTGGTCTGGATAAGGGTGGCACCCATCAAGGAAGCAGTCCAGAGCAGAAGCCACCAGGCCTATGGGTTCTGCAGGCCTGACAAGAATTTCCGGCCTGGGCTGCTTGCCGAGAACAGCCTGTGGGCACCAAAAGGGCAGGGAAAGAACTATCTCTGCACTCTTTCATCTTGCAGACTTTAATTGGCTTAATTGAGTTTAGAACTTCCACAGAGGGGTCCCGGACCTTCTGGCATGCACTGCAGCTGGACTGTTACATCCAGCCAGCCCCAGCACCTGAATGCCTTCTTGACTCTTCCTCTGGCATGTCATGGTCACTTGGCCAGAGGCATAGGGCTCCTCCTTTCGGGGCTGTCTCCCTGGCCATCCTGATGGGCTTCTGGGCACCTTCTGGGCAGCCCACCACCTTCCAGGAAGCTATAGAGTTCCTGAGCAAGGGGCACCTCTGTCCCTAGGTTCCCTTCTCAGGACCCCACTCCTGACACCAAGCTTTGAGCCATCAGCATCTGCAGATGCCAACATCTGTGTCCCACACTAGGGCCCCACAAACACCCACTTCCTCCTGGAAAACAGAGCCCCAGTCAGGGCTGGAGATACTGGACGCCTGGCTCCTATTTGGCCCTGCCTTCCACGTGGCCCGAGGTGAATCACAGCCACCCACGCTGGGACACCCTGGCAGTTCCCCAAGTAGCTTCCCTGGCAGGCCTCGGGCACCTGCCATGTGTGGGGTGGCCCAGCCTCACCTTCTCAGGGACAACGAGTCAGGGAGAAAAGGCCCCCACTTGCCCCCACGTTGGCACCTGAGAACACATCAGAATTCACCCTATCCTCGCGTCTGGAAACAGCCCCAGGGCCACCCCTGCTTGGTGCCTGCCAAGTCCATGAGGGTGTGTGTCCCCACTCTGAGGATGGGACATTTGTCGCTGAGTGCTGCTGCTTCCTGGGGGTGGACAGAGCGGCCGCCAGCACTGCTAGAAGCCAGGAAGCCCTGGCCTGAGTTGCTCTAGGGTCACTGGGCCCTCAGCAAAGAGAAAGTCCCTGCCACCATCCTGATGTGGGAGCCAGGTCCATGACACCATGGCTTGGGGGCCACATGGAAGCTGAGCCCAGGTGGTGCCCGGCAAGAGATGAAGGAACACACCCTCTGCCTCCTGGGTGCCCATTGGCCTCTCGCTACAGACCTGCCAGCTAAGGCTTGCCCTGGGGGGTCCCTTGAAATCATGTGTCCAGTGGGATGGAGGGAAGGGCAGGTTGGAGAAAGGGTGTGGCCAGCTGCCCCCCCCAAGTCTGTTGGACACCCGTGGGTGGCTCAGCATGCACCTGCACACTGGGTGAGGCTTAGAACCAGGAGAGGCCCCGGGGCAGCTCATGTCCTCCCCCAGGCCTGGTGTGGTCCCTCCCAGGCCCCTTTGATCCATATCTCCCCTCTGCCATACAAGACCCTCTCCCTCCTGCCCACCCCTGCCTGATGCACCTTGGTGACCACCCGGGAGGGGAAAGAAGGGTTCCAAGGACGAGGCCTGCATGCAGCCAGGGAGGGGGAGGGAAAGAGCCGGGCAGAGAACAGCCTCATTAATATTTCAGAGGCGCCGTCACTGCAGCGCCTGGGCCTCCTCGGCCCC